TTCTTCGGCGCTCGGCCTTTTTTATGGTCCAGCTCTCACAGCCATACATTACTACTGGAGGTCAGGAAATACTGACTGATTAATGGAGGAGGAAGGTGGAAAGCCAAAGAATGTCACAGTTTGGAAGGACCCATTGTATAGAATTGACCTAACTAAGTCCTTCTTACTGTTAGCAATTCATCAGTAAGAAACAAGTGTCTAGCAAAGGGATGTGAAGAGCTCCCTCGGCTCTTAACAAAGCCAGTAGCTTGAGCAGTATGATGGTAGATGAAATTAAATTTGCGGCAACATAGATTGAAAGAAACAATTGGAATTGATTGCAGACACTGATACAATCACTGCAGACAGTTCAGTAAAAGCATCTGCTCAATGCACGGAGATGATTAAAAGCAAATAAGATGTTAGCCTGTGTTTCAAAGGGGAATAGAAAATAACCTGGAAAATGCTACAAATTACAATGATATTACATGAATGGCATGACCTTCCCTTCAGTACTGTAGACAGTTTTGGTTGCTTCAGCTGAATAAAAGAAATTGAGAACAACAACAACAACAAAAAAAAACTACAAAGGCCTGTGGAAAGTGCAGGAGGAGTAGAGAGATTTCAGCAAGGCATGTGGATAAATGAGATAATTGGCAGTGATAAACCATGTAGCTGGAGACAAGATAAGTCTATATAATCAATGAAAGAAGCAAACGGTCACTTGGTTGGCTGGTTGGCTGGTTCTTTCCTATAATATCTCTTTCTGGGTCACTGCTAGAGTCATAACTGATTTAGGATTAAACTGCTGAGATATAAACATTTTTGCACATTTCCACTTTCCTTTGCCAAGCTGGTACTTTGTTTGCCAGTTAGAGTTGCCCTTAGTCAATTAACTTTGCTGTAGCAAATTGTAGAGTTGCCAACCTAGACAGCTGTCTGAGTCAGCAAAGCTCTGGAATTTGGGGCATCTTCTGTTTCAAATGCCAAACAGGCAGTTGAATGTTTTTTAAAAAACAAAACCAGTATTGTAATGAGCTGGAGAAGGAAATTTATAATATTTACATCAACAATAGAAGTTGATGGTGTCTTGTCAAACCTGCATTTTTCCACAGCTATTTTTACATTGACAATGACTGGAACAAGGCAGTAAATTGCTTTCTAGTGCTCGGATCTGTCAGAAAATTTATTATACTCCCTGACTGCTTTTTGTCTCCCAACTGTAGTCAGATTCTTGCAGGTCTGCCAAGTCAAGCAGCTGTTTCAGCAGAGACCCTACCATCACAATGTCAATGCTCTTGGACTTCATTTAGCATTTAAGCTAAAATCTATGAGAGTTTTAAACACCAGGAAATGTAATGGGCAATCAAAATCTTAGGTAAAAGAGATGATTCCCCTGTCTGGACATTAAACATCCTTCACCTAAGTTCTATTAAATAAGACAAGCTGTGGTCTCCATTGACTGTCATATAATGAATGGCTGAAAAAAGAATGAGAACTTTTTTGTGACATCAGAATTTGCTCCATAACCATTAGTACTACAGTTATAGACCATGGTTACAGTTAACCATGCTGCTGTTGTCAGTACTCTAAAGTCATTACAGGTGAGGTTCCAAAATAATTCTAATTAGAATCCTGGTGACCTAACAAATGTCATGGTATCCAAGATCAAGCAGAGAGCGAGCAATGCTCCCCTTCATCATATGCCCTCCTACTTTGAGATCAGAGGCACTAAAAGTATTTGACATGCAGAAGGAATAGAATTTCAAGTGCCATTTGTTACAGTTTGGCATGGAAAAACAAGATTGAGCAGCTCTATTTTACTTTTTTTTTTTTTTAATGAGATAAATGCATGAGGGCAGAACCCAGTCCTGCCTCAATCCAAGGGGAAATATCTATTTAACACAGCAACTTTATTTCTCATGAAAATGTAATTAGTGCATTCTAAATTTCCTATCAGGTGAGTAGTACACATGCAAATGGAACCTGTTGAAAATATATAATTGTCTTTCATAGTTTTTATGCATCTGCTTGTGCCCCAATATGTTCCTGCTTTAGTGAGTTTTAAGACTTTATTATGTAATTCCAACCAGTCAGGGATCACATAATAAATGTAGCCCAAATGGGCTCAGGAGTGTCATCAAGGACAAATACAGCTCTTGCATTGCCTTCTTGAATTGAGTATGGTGGGAAAAAAACATCTCTGCTGGCAAGGAAATTAATTTAAAACTTCCTCTGTAATTGTACTGATCTAGTAATTTTAGTATTCACCAGCCATACATGGAAAGGCTTTTGCTTGATCCCACTGCACATGAATATCTGTGGTAAAATGTGAATATAGATCTATTTTCAGTTGTAATTGATAAAATAAACACACCTGCATTCAAACATTCATGTAAATGTTACAGTTATTAATATACACTGTAAGAATTTCAGCACTTCAATATGCATCTTCAACCACATTTTGCTGCAAGTAGTTATTTAACTTCCAGGTGACTCAGTCTTGTCAAGAGTGCATTGACTCAGTTGATCAAAATGATTTTAAAATGATATTTTTTAATTTGTTTCATAATGCCAGAGATTTTGCCTTGATGAACTATTTTTTTTTGTAAATATCTTTCCAGACTTTGGTTGTCAGTCAAATTACATGTTTACATTTCCAATGAATAAAGACTGTGTTGGGAGAAAACCTAGTTCATTATTAAACTAAGAATGTGATGACAGTACAGAAATACAGAGCTTTAAGTTACTTCCAGTGTGATGTCTAATTTCAAAAAAGGGGATCTCTCATCAGTTTGATTTCATAAAACCAAATTATTAGAAAAAATCTTACATACTGATAATTGGGTCTCTTTCTTAATGCGCTTACTTGCACAGTCTAATTCTATCCCTCTGTCTTACACATAAAACAGAGAGTGGATGCTTGCTCACACTTCTTTTTTTGCAGGCAAAGGGCTACCTGGGGTGTGTTATAGCCTTCAGAACTTTCTTCTTTTTTGACCTTCAGATATCCAGAAAAACAGAGTACCTCTTGTAACTAAATTATCCCCATATACACATCTGCCATTATGTTAATACAATGTGAGTTTCAGCAGATGGTGCAAAATAAATTATGTTGGGGAAGAGTGATAAGCAAAATTGACCTTTCTAGGACTTGCTGCCATTCAACAACACAGGTTCAAAATGATGTTCAAATCTCTACTAGGTATAAATGGAGATAGAATTGATACATGGGTAGTTAAGCAACTGAATACGGCCCAACATTTCTGAACTTGATGTACCTGCACATTTGTTCAAAGAGCCCGGCGTATCCCTCACAAATGCTCTTTCCACTCTGAAGGACATCCTGGGGCTTGTAAGACTGATTCTTTTTATCATGGAAACCTACAACATCATATTCTGGAAGAACAATGGAACACGTAATATGTAAAAAGCAGTGTGAAGTTACAAAAGTTACTGTATGCTAGAACTACCTACTAATATTCATTCCACTGTAGACCATGCAGGCCTATCCTAAACATGAGTGGGTAAAAAGCTAAAAAGTGCAGGAGAGACTTCCTGTGTAATTATCAGCCTTTGAAGCTTACTGGCTATAGTAATAAATGAGATCTTCAGCTCTGGTTTATTTCTCATTTTTCCAACCATAAGTTTTATTTAAGTTTCCAGCTCAATTTTAGTCTGCACATAGCTTTTTGTATGCATTCCTCCTAAGGTTTTTGTACACATATTTTTCATCACATATTGTTCCAAATATTTTCTCAAATAAAATACATTTTTGTAAATTTTGTAGAACAGATACAGCAAGAACTAGTTGAGAGAAGGAAGTCATAATATCTCAAAGGCAATATTTTATATATGTTTCCTGATGATAGGCAATTCCTGGAAAGGTATCTGAAAATAGATATTTCCTTTGAATGATAATATTTATATTTTTCCCCAGAAAGTAGGTATTCTAGACCAGTGGTTCTCAACATGAGCCATATGACACCCCCCCCGAGGGGCCATGCCATATTTATAAGCGGGCACCCAAACATAACAACCAGGCATATGATCAATTTGTCAATCCTCACATCTCATTCTGTATGCTAATTTCAGCACCATAAATATTGAAAATTACCACAGTTTACAATAAATATCAACTAACAGCAACTTTGAGGGAGTCACAGAGATACATGGGGGCCACGAGCAAAAAAAGGTTGAGAACCCTGTTCTAGACTATTAGGTACCCCTTAGTCATATATTCCCATTCTAGCTTGTCCACAGAACACGGGCACGAACAGAAGGCAAACAACAAACAATCCTTATCCACAAATTTCATAGAAAGAAACTGCTTACCAATGTGGTGGGATATCCACATCCAAATGGCCCTAACTTTCTCCAGATCAGTATGTGCTACACGGAGCAAAGTTTGCACTAACTCTTCCACAGTTCTCTTGGCAGTCACCTGTAATTTAAGGATGTTAGATTGCATGGCATTGTCTAATTTGAAACCAGCAGTCAAATTAGCCTTCCTTCCTTAATATTCAGTTCAGAACGTCCATGCACCTCTATTAGTTTCTAGTGATTGGTTTCCTTGTGTCAAAGAAAACACATGAGCTTACAGTTTGGCTTAGGATAATTTTCAGGGCAATTGGAGGGGGAAGGCAAGCTTATATATGGGTAGAGGAGCCTAATTAATCATCAAAGTATAAAATAGAGCAGGGTCTTCTTTAGTCCTGATATGCTGTACTTGACAGCCGTCCATGTCTTAAACAAGTTTCAAAGACGCTGTCAGGTAGGATTACTCTCCTATTTCACGTATACAATTTGTTCAGACTTGAGTAGCTATAACTGATTCCAGTTCACTTATTTCCGTTCACAACGTGTCCTTATTGTCAGCTAGAATTGCTCAGCCTTCAGGCCAAAGATGAGATTTTATTCTCTATCAGCTGATCAAGATTACGTTCTAAAAATCTGGAAGCTGCATAATCAGAGGTATCTCATCTTGGATTGCAAATGTATTTGTAATAAATACTTATCAACCTGTTTTTGAGTTGACAGTATGATTTTGTTTGCGAAACTGGAAATAAATCCTGGAGGTTCCCTTAAAGTGAGACATCTGAGGAATTTAGAGGGAAACAAAAAGTGTTTGATAAGACTTGAGATATTTCTGAAAAGGCTTCAATAGTCTTGAGACTTTAATGATAAAAATGGATGCAAATTTGAAAATTCTTAGGGAGGAAGATCAGAGAAATTTCCAGGGAAGTACCATGTACCATGACAGAGTACATCATGGAAAGGCAAAAAATGCCAAGTTTGATCCCTGGTATCTTCAATTAAAAGGTTGGACAGCAGGGAACATCTTCAATTACCTATTGTGACCTGCTAACAGATGAGGCTGGTGTACAGTGTTCTTCAGCTTTCCAGTCTCAAGATAGCAGAAACTGTGGAGACCTGCCGTTGGTCAGCACAGTCTACACAAGGATAGATGGGCAAAGAATATTAGCCTGTTCTAAGACAGTTTCTTGTATTTCTAAAAATTAGCAACATTATTGGGAAATGGTTGGCATTTTACCTAATCAGGTCTGAACTCACATTTATTTCAAAGATCCCTTCATTAAGATGATCCACGTAAAACAAAGCTGGCCTTCAACTCTTATAAAATCTTTTTGGCCACACTTATTAGGAATAATGGCAGGAAAGGATCAGCAGAGATCACCAGATTAGAAAGCACCAGATGGGGAGGCTTGCCTGGATCCATCAAACTTCCAAGGAAACATTTATTCTATCTATCTATCTATCTATCTATCTATCTATCTATCTATCTATCTATCTATCTATCTATCTATCTATCTATCTATCTATCTAATCTCACACTTCTAAAGCAACTGCACCACTCAAGATGGTATGCATGTTAGATATATTTTGATCAATCAGCTTCCACTGGGCTGTTAATTCACATTTAGGACTTGAATGAGTTTGCATTTCTCTTCGAGAAGAGGAAATGGTTTCCTTAAGATAATTGGAAGAATGAGGTTGGTATAGAATAGGGACACAGCACAGGAGCACAAATACAGATACAATAAAGCTCTCAAGGTGTGTGTTCTATACTCCATTCAAGTGGAAATTGTCTGAAGGAATCAAATGAGCAATAGATTGCAGCTATCACATCTCAGCAAATTGTATTTTATAATTTGTCATAAGTTTGATGACTGCAGCACCTATTTTCTACAAATCTCTCAGATACAGCATAATTCCCAGGATCCACCAAATATTATACATTTGTGTCCTATTCAATTTATTTCCATCTTACTCCAAAGTTCTGTGCGTGCGTGTGTGTGTGTGTATGAGAGAGAGAGAGAGAGAGAGAGAGAGAGAGAGAGAGAGAGAGAGAATATGTTTATTCACATATTTAACATATTTAATTAACACTACTGTGCAATTTTTAATTCAGTACATACCTGGATTATCAGCTTATCTATTAGCAGCTGTACCACTCTTGACTAACTGTCAGACATGCTAGTAATTTGGACATACAACACACAACAGAATTATTCAAATAATGATACATTGTACATAGAGCTGTTATTCATTCGCCATAATTTAAAATAGCTAGAAAACTAAATAACTAAATTCCATAAACATTCCATAATATTAGTGAGAATAATTAACACCAAAATTTATGCAGTGGGGTAGACAATAATATATATCTAGGGCAAGGGTTCCAGAAAGGGTGGAAGCTCTGTTTGAAGCATGCTGCTATGACTTTCAGGATTTATTTACCTTTTTTGCATATGCATCCAATTTTTCAAACTGCTTCAGGTCCAAAGGCTTGGATTTTAAGCAAGAATTGTCCCATGGATAAGCTGGAAATAAATATGCAATCAGGAATAATTAGGGTGACCAGATACAGGAGCTCTTCCTTCTTTTGCAATTGATCACCCTAGATTAATTATTCTGGAAAGAATAAGACATTTCTAGAAGCCAACCACCTAGTAAATCTAATTTAAATCTACAATAAGGGCTTATGTACTTCAGGGTTGGGATGGGGGGTTGGCTCACTGTATTGTGTTAACACAACCAAAACAGCTTAAAGAACACAATTAACAAGACTTAAGAGATGCCTGGAGCAAAAATAGAAGAGGACTAGGTATGAATATGACTGAGCAAGGGTTTGTGCTTCTGTTTGGGCCAAACTGGCAATAAGAGCATTGAAGCAAATCTGCACTTCTCCATAATGTGTATGCAGATTCTTGTTCAGTGGTCCTGTTTAGGACTAGGTGGATGAGATAACGCTTCCCCAGGCTGACATACCTGTGAGATTTTGTCTGCAAATAAACTCACTCATGTTCACTCAGGTTAGATGCCAGCTAAGTAGAACTGGGTGAGGTGATATTACAGCAAGCAAGTGCTACGCTACAGATAGGGACCAGATGCAAAAGTATGAACACATCTCTTGTTCAAATTACCTGATTAACATCCTGTTTCTACAGCTTTGTAAAGGAGACAGGGACCCTGCTGTCTTATTCACCTAACTGCCCTACCTTGTATCTGAGTTAACAAGGAATCTTGTTTTATTTATGTGCTCTTCTGTAGGGGGTCAATCACTGTTGCACAGTTGACACAGATGGCACTGTTGGAGAGATGGCTGGATCTGGGCTGGATTTGTAAAAACACAAACAATCTAATCCAGCAGTTGGGATCCATGCTACTTTTAGAGAGCAGCTATCCTGAGAATTATCCAATCTCATGAGTTTTAACATTCTTTTCTGGGATCTCATAAGAAAACTTCAAACTGTCCTAAGATTCCAGTCCTCTCACAAGCGATTTAACTATCACACCAGATTTGGGTTGAATTTAAAAAATGGTTGGGTGTGGATGTGTGTGGGGGGCAGAGAGTTGGCCTTTGAGCAAGGCTGTGCATTAGCAAGCACCCATTTGAGATAAATAGTTAGTTAATGCCTGGGGTTGATATGGTGCTCCTATCTAGTGGACTCCGAGCAGCTTATATTCCCTTAATTAAAAGATTAACAATTAATATATTTTGTTTAGTATAACAAAATAACACAACTAACTGCAACAAGAACAGTAGCCAAACATTGCAAAGAAGACTAAGCCCATCAACAAAAACAATCGAAATATACTACAAGGTAGGAGCTCCCTACTTACACCAAGTCCCCTCCTAGAGGTTTCTTAAATGCCTAGTTTGTATGGCTCTCCTAAAGCTCAGCAGGGTGGGATCTAGTCTGATCTCTGGAAGAAAACTATTGCAAAGAAGAGGTCTGCAACTGAAAGACTCAACTCCTTGGGCTCTGTAGATGGCAGTTTCTAAGAGAAGGGAGCCAGAGTGGGCCTGCCACACTTGATCTCATTGGACAGGCAGAAACCATGGGGAGTAGACAGTCCTGTAGCCTGAGGCATGTAGAGTTTTCAGCAGTTGCACCTGGCAACCACTGCAATTTTCAAAGTAGAATTGTTACATCGGAGAACTTCCACCTTCTCAAATAACTATTGTTGTTTAGTCATTAAGTCGTGTCCGACTCTTCGTGACCCCATGAACCATATTGC